CATAGCACCTACAAATGAGTAATATCTTATTTTGCAGTATGTTACAGATAATACTAATCACTGAACTGAAGTTTGAAAGTCGAGCAACAGTAACAATAACCTCAGCTTAGTTAGCGACTGTTCCTTTGTATGTTAAAACTGATCTTGTTTTTATTGCTTCTAAATTCTCATAACTGTCAAAAGAACCTGAGTTTCAAATCAGTTGCTATGTTTCGAGCAATACAAATGAACATACCCATTTAGTAGCAGTAACAATTCGTCAAATAAATAAAATTTATTCCGAAAATAAGTTAAGTAATTTTTTTACTATAGCTACAATGAGTGCTACAATCTGATATTTTTACAAATAAACACTTACAACCTAGCCACTGCCAATCTCATAAACCAGTGATTTAATATGACCCCAAATACAAAAATCAACTGGAATCATATCTGGTGAATGTGCAGGCCAAGAAATCGGCCCCCCTCTCCCGATCCATCCATTTGGAAATTGTGCATTTAGATAATTTCGGCAATTCAATCCAAAGAGTACTGGTGCACCATCATGCTGGAAAACAATATTTCTTCGAATATTATGTGGGACATTTCTAGGCAGTGTTTATAAAATGGCAACTGTATACTGGGTAACTTGATGTCATAATAGCACACTTTCTCTATGTTTCACGTCGATTGCGACTTCAGGTACAGCTGTTAATTATATTACCAGTATTGCCAGTTGTCTCTACCGAATATGAAATTGTACCGTATTTAGAAAAGGTTTAGCCTAAACGACACTATTTTAGATAACTTCTTAAATGTTTTGCATTTGCTCCCTTGTTTTTTTCGGAAATTTCGTCAGTTTGACCCTGAATGATTAGTAACTTTGATTTCACTGTACCTGGCTTCTTAACGAGTTTATCTAACAGACGTGATTGAAATTAAACCACTTGAATATTGATCCATTAAAATGTTGGAAATTATGTTTGACCAAAACAGACAAGGATGAAAAAAAATTAAAATATGTAAACAACACATTGTATAACTGCAGATAGCTCCTAATCGTTGTTGCTAAGGAAGGCAACTGCGACCTAAGCCAGATGAAATTCCAAAAAACACTTTGTTTTACTGGTTGATTGATTGAAAAAAATGTATGAGTGGTATGTAACTTTTTTTCTTGTGACACTTAAAAATAACGTCATCTAAAATTGCTTGAATGAAAATACATCAATTGCTGGTTCCAGTTTACAAAATAATACAAATATTCTGAATAACAATAATCGCTAAAAAAGTCAACAGAAAAAGGAATAAGTAACTATTCATTATTTCAATAAATGTTAGAACTGTTATTGGAAATGCACGCTCAGTAATTAATATTTTGTAACAATTCTTATTTTGTTCATTTAATTCCGCAAAAACGAATTGTTTCATGTAACCATTATAAAAATAATAATGGCCTATTCTATTACTGCCCAGTCAGCGCTCCGGAAAATGTAAATTAAGCCACTGAGACACTCGATTTAAATAATAACAGGCTTACTAGTAATATATGTTGTTTCTGAAGAATAGGGGAAAATCATCTCATAAAACAGTTTTTTTGTTGTTGAGTTTTTGAAAAATTTGACATATTGCTTCAATTGAGTGGTCTCCCAGATCGCCAGATCTAACGCCCTTAGACTTAAAGTCAAAAATTTATGCAGCACCGCCGAACTCACTTGAGCAACTTCGTAGGCGAATTGTTGAAGAATGTCGTCAAATAACGTTCAAAATGCTTCGAAATGTTCGTTCAGAAGTGGAGCACAGATTTTATTATTGTATGGAAGTGGATGATCGAGTCAACATCATTAATTGCCGCTACTGGAGTGATAAAAATGTACGCATTTTTCATGAAACTCATACGCAGCATTCGAAGCAGTGGCGGCTCGTGACATTGAGAATAGGTGAAGCATATTTATTGATTGACTAAAAAAAAGCGCCGCAGACGAAAATTTTCAAGGTCAAACGGCTTTAAATGAATCTGGAAATTTTAGTTGTATTTGCAATATTACCGAAAAACTGACGTTGGCGAGAAGGATTTTCATTTAGATTTTATAAAAAATAGAAATATTAGTTTGGCTCGTGGATTTAATGATAGGTACAAATACAGATGTTAAGCGGGATTGTTAAATCCCTCCTTATTCCACACGCCCGATTTTACACTCGCAATTAAACACGGCATACAAAAAAGTTTTTTAAATAAACACATCCGCACAATCACTCCGAATACCATTCAATCCGAAACTTCCAAACATACACTTTGTCTTTTGACCTCCCCCTTTTTTCCACATCGAGAGAAGGTACAGGTCTTTCGCAATTTAAAAAATCTTTTTTGTCCTCAATTTTCGATCTGGAAAATGGCATTTCCAATAAAATACATACAGGATCATGCATAGGAAACATTTCTACAAATTATTGATACAAAACAAATATTAATAAAGAACCTTTCCCACTAAACACGAAACGTAAATGAAACGTTGCAAATGAGCTGTTTTACTACACATTTGAAACAATAACTAGAAACGTTGCTGTTTCATTACAGAAATGTAGCACTTGAAAACTTACTTAGTGCAACATAGCCGAAACATTCCAATTGAAGAGAGTTTGAAACATTACTCGAAACATTCCCTTTCGATCTCGGAAACGTAACAACGACAAACAAACAACCCTTTGCTTTTGTTTATCTTATGGAACTTCCATTCGGCATTACTTAAATTTTGCTCTCAAGCCCCATCATTATAGCAAGCGTTAGTTCATTTGCCTTTGTTATATGTACAACCAGACATAAACAGAAAAAAAATTGTGGTAGCATATTTATAACACAAGTCTAGAAAAAATGTATATTCGTGACTTGCGCAGACCACGCGTAACAGCCCGAATTTATTTATTTCTCGTGTGCCGTTTTCAATTCGTATTATGTTAGGTGTTAGGTTAGGTTTGCGGTTTGCCTTTACCCGTTTGCCTGGCTTAGTTGTTCTTCATCGTTACCAGGGAGAATAGTCTCCATGATCGTTACTTTGATGCTATTTTATGTGATAATTTATAGTGTGTGCAGTTGTGGTCATTGTAAGGTGCATATAAAATAATGAATATTGATGCAAAATGTTTAAAACGATAGGTGTAGAGATTTCGAATTTTGCGTCACATCTACCTAAACATAGTTATTATACCCACTACCTAATACCTATTAAAGACAAGAGGACAAAAACTAAAAAAAATGGAACATGGAACTATACGTTTCGGAGAACTATTTGAAATACGGAAGAATCAAGTGAAATATATGTCATTTATTTTATATTTTGTACAAATGTTTATATTTGTGTACGTGTACAGGAATGCTTAAATAAAAGAGTTTAAGTATACCTACAAATATTTATTTTTTCAAGATATCCTTTTGTATCTTATTTATTTCTACTGTAAAATTTATTATAAAAAGGTTAGATGTAATATTGACTATGCATAGAAGAAATTGTAACTTCTTTATATTATTTTGCAGTAATGTTATTTGCTTTTCATGTACCACCATTTCAAGATTAATTATCATAACTAATTTTTTTAATTATCATTTCGTCATTGTTACCATATTCATGATGGTCTCAACATTAGAAAATTTCCATTTCAGAAGCGTATTTGAACAATATAAAATGATGTGTAGCTTTTTTAAAATGCTTCTGATATTGTTTTGTGACATTTTTATTTGTACGATGAATGGCAGAATCCGTAATCCATAGTAGAAACTTTTTCAGTGGCTTCTCAAAAAGAAAAAAATTCTTGATAAAAGTTGCTGCATCCCCAAACTAGAAAAGCAGTTATTTTTTTTTAATATACAATAACATTTTTCAGTTAAATTTTTTGAGAAATCAGAAAAAATTGTCTGGATTACGAATTAAGTCATTCACAATACAAATAAAAATATTACAAAAGAGTATTAGAAATATTTAAAAAATTACTGACACTGTTTATACTGTTTCAAAAACGCTTCTGAAATGGAAATTATCTAAAGTTATGAGAACAATATGGTAATAAAATTATTATGTTACTCAAACATTTCTGAAAATACACGGAAACGTAAAACAAAAATATTGAGTGCATAAATGGAACATCAAAAGAATGTTACTGAAACCAATTTTTTGAAACGTTTCATTGGAAACGTATTTTGAGGAGGACATCTTCGGTTTCTATTGGGTTACCAGAACGTTGCATGGATTTTTTATGAAACGTTTTAAGAAAAATGGAAACGTTTCTGGAACATGTCAGAAACTGAAAAATGTTTAGTGGGTTATAACCGTGCGCTGGGCAACGTATCGTATAAACTGTTTAGACACGATAGACAGGCGATGCGCGATGATGATGAGAATGCTGCTTCAACTTTTGCATCACTCGTTCTCCCAAGCCGTAGTTGCTGCGTTGGCTGCCTCGTTCCCATGACAACCGCCGTACGGAGAGAAGCAGATACATACCAATTTCAATAGGAGTCACTTGCGTATACTATACGTTGTATGGTACGAGCATAGAAAATGGAATATTAACATAGAATGAAATCTGATATACAACAACCTATACCATTTGCATACCTAACATTCCACTGTAACTTCGGCTTCCATATCGTAAGATGGTGCTATTTAGTTTTTGTGATTTCAAACGCAGGTAATGCAGGTATCATTTTGTTTTGATTTTGACCCTTGTTTATGTACTTTTGACGTTTGTCATATGTTAATACGTTTGTTTATTGTCTGCCAAATAAAAACTTATATAGTTAAACCACAGCAAAATTAAACCTGATGGCCGTATATTTATGTCAACACCAAATAATCCTGGTCCATCAACCAGTTCTACCTTTGTACATTTTGGTAAGTATATTTTCATGAATACAGAGATTAAGTAGTCGACATTCATGCATTTTAATTTTCATAGAAAGCATATTTTAGTATCACATTTAGTTTAGCTATATTTCTATTTTAGGTGATGAAAATAATGAATTGGATGTAATTCAGTACCGTCAGACATCTGAAAATTCTCAAATAAGGTTAAATGATCCTGTAGCACGCAGTATGTAATATTAATGAGTTAATGTAATATCAGTTTTTATTTGCCGTTTTTTCAGAACATGGTTTGTTGAAAAATGTTGGTGTACATAAGAGTTCACAACTGTCTCCTATCTCCAGAATTCTGTATAAGCAAGCTTTGTATTACGAGAAGAAAGCTTCCATACTCTCCAAACGGAAAATGGATTGACAACGTAAAATCCAAACTATCGAAAAATGGTCAAAAGAAAAATGCTTTCAAAATTTGACCAAACAATTTAACCATCCTGCAGTTCACTTTTTCAAAAGACAGGTTGAATCATTTGGCAAAAAGGCTAAAGGTAGAAGATTTGACATTGAAGATAAATTTCTTGCCCTTGCCCTTTACAAGCAGAGTAACGCAGCATACAAATTACTATCCTCTTTGTTTATTTTACCTTCAAGAGTAACTTTACAAAAAGTGTTGTCAAGAATTCCCATTTCTTCGGGAATTCATGATGCTGTTTTTAAAGTTTTAAGTTCAGCTAGTAAAAAAATTAAACCCAACAATAAGTTCTGTGTACTAATGTTTGATGAAAAGTCAGTTGAGCCTAATTTACATTATAATCAATTTCTGGATGAGGTTGATGGCCTTGAAGATTTTGTCGGGGAAAAGTTTGAAAAAATTGCAAATTATGTTCAGGTAAGGCAGCCATAAATACGTCATATACCGGGTGACCACTAGATTACTACCCAAGCTCTAGCTTAGGCACGAAAAAAGATATCGATTTAAAATTTTTGGCATGCGTATCATTGAATTTGATGCAAAATTTAATAAAAACAACTGACCGCCACTTCCTATTTGACCGAAAATGCCATAAACTTTGTTATTTCATATGGAACTCCTTGTATATTATTTTTGTTTTCAATTCTGCTGAAGAAACTAACACTAAAATATGTATTATGTCCTATACCTATCTTTGTCAGTTTCCGAGAAAATTGCGCTTTAAAATGGCTAATTTGTCATTTATAAAATCCTTTTGAAAGAAAACAAACGAAGAAAGGGACAAAGTTATATGGTATCTTTAACTTATTTTAGAAGTACTAAAGTCTGATATCATAAAAATGTTGCACTTCCGGCACATCCGGAATAGATATTTTAATGAAACGAAAAAAATATTTAAAAAGAAATGATAATATATCCAAAGCTTTATAAAAAATGTTTTTTATATTGCAAGAGGGTACACACTTAAAATAGAATCTTTATTTTATAAGATTTGTATGCAAGATCACATATAAATAAAATACTTATAAGGTTTGTTCCAACGGTTGCGGTTGCAGGTAGTTTGTGAATTGTCAATTTCCGCAGTTGATTGTTGTGATCTTTTAAAATATACATTTTATCTTAATAATAATGAGTACTAACATTTTGAAGTGAAATAATACTTTTTATCGGATTTGTTAATATATAAGCTGATACAATTTAATATCTAGAGATATTAGTAGATAAACAACAGTAGTTTCTCTGCATTTTACTTGGTACTCGTAAAATTGTTATTTCAATCAGTTAATTATATTAATTAATAAATAAAGATTGCATGGCTTGGACATAATTATATTCTTTATGATTAATCTCTGGCCATAAAATAACTTCATTTTGAGTTCCGACAATTTGAAAATGGCCTGCAGCTGTTGGAACAATCTTATGAATTTGTTAAGTTATGTAAATATAAGAAAATTGGTAGTACATAACATATTTTTACTCAGAATAATTTAGATAAGTAAGTCTTAGTATTAAATATGTCCTTTCCGTTGTAATGAACCATTTCTAGTTTATATAATAAATTGTTTTGTATTTCATAAAATATTTTTTTATTCCTTTAAACAAATGGGGTTCTGGTATGTTTATGCTTTTCCTTTATATTTAAAAGTTTAAATATATATATTAAAGTATGGACAATTTAAACAAGGTAGATTTCTTTACTTTAATATATATTTAAACTTTTAAATATAAAGGAAAAATATTTAATAATAATTAAGACTCATGGGCAACCATAAATACTGCACTCAAATTAGGCAACCAAATGTACATATCATATCTACGGTTGTCTACATTATGCATTAGTTAGGCTTCCAAATCACCAGAGGCGCTGTGGGAATGGTTTAGTGGATTATTTAGGAAGATTTCGTTCTATCTTGTATATTATTTTTTCTATGGGTACGAGGTTGATGTTCGCGCTCAACGAAGGCAATGATTTTTTAGAAGGCTTTCACCGCGGAATTATTCTGTTTATTTCTGCGTATAAGACAAACAAACACAATACATTTTCAATATAGAATTGTACCTAAATTATCAAATTTATATAAAATTTAAAATAATTTTAAATTGCACAACCAAACGGAAATTTTAGGTGAAGCGGTGCGTCACTTACGTCACCCGACGAGCCGCCACTGATTCTAAGAAATATAATGTTTATAAAATGTATCTTAATCTACCGGAAACGAATGATTTTGGAAAAATTGGAAAATGACAACGCTTTGCCGGAAGAGGTGTTGTGTGGTTTGAGCAGGATGGTGCTCCACCACATTCTGCCGTAGCTGTGCGTGATTAATCAGAACTTTCGAAATCACTGGATAGGACGCAGAGGTTCAATTGACTGGCCTGCCAGATAGCAAGACTTTTTTCTATGGGGACACGACCAAACTCACTTGAGGAGCATCGTCGCCGATTTGTTAAAGAATATCGTCAGATAACTCCCGAAATGATTCGAAATTTTATTAATGTATGGAAGCGGAGGGAAATTAATTTGAGAATTTAATAAAGTAATATATCGTTTCATTCATTTTTTGTCTTATTCTTTAAGTGATGATTTAGGTAATTCTCATATCCAAACCAAAATTTAAAAAGTAGTATGTCGTCGTGAGCAGAATTGAAAATGCTTTAAAATGAGGTGTAACTCAACACAGGGTGCCATTTAAAGTTTAAGGCTATTTTACACCCCTACCTAAGGGGTAGTTTCCAAAACATCAAAACTTACGCCTTTATGTGTCTCTTCTTGAAAAGAAAATCGACGTGTCTCAGTTTTTTTGTTTTTTTTAATTCCGATATTTTCCAGGTGGGAAGTTTTAATTGGATCACCCTGTATTCTTCTTTTACCATCAGAGTTTCATTGTAAAGGTGAATGATACAAAAAAAAAGTTTTCATTTTGGTCTATCGAAAATTTTATAGTCCTACGACATTGTTTTGGTCTCCTAGATTTTCCGAACTTAAACTAATTTATTTTTTGTAGAATAGTATAAGAAACACTTCACTTAGGCGGAATTAAACCTTCATGAATTAATACAGTTAGAAATTGTTTGCCATTTTTGTCGAAAACCGTTTACTTTACGTATAAACAATATTTTTATATAAAATTTATCGTTGCATAAGAAAAATTCCTCCAAATTGCAAAATATTAAGTGAAAAAGTTATAAAAGAAAATTTCAAGATGAGCTGTCTAAACCTTTCTCTGATGTTAGCTGAAAATGAATATCAGTTTAATTCCTTGAAAGATTCAAAGCTATCACTAAAATTATTAATAATAATCTTTTCTTTTAATTTCCTTTAAGGTTTTCAGCACTATTTCATTATTTCAAAGGACAGGTACGTATTTTCGTTAGTAAAATCTGGATATAATACCTATTTTATTTTTGATTTTTATATAATTGTTTACTAAATAGTCTACAGAGTTCATTTAGTGTTAAATATTTTATATAGAGTGCATACAATGTAATTTAATTTGATGAGAATTTAGACATTTCTTGAATTATGGATTTGTCTAATAACTTTAAAGTAAATTTATAAATGTAGCATAACTAAATATTATTATCAGTCATTGAATGCTTTACCAACTCGAAGGTAGAGTTAAGAACTGTTAAACAGGAAGTATAGACTTGCTCCTGTTCAGAATAATTTATTATCATTTCCAGCTAGTCTTTGTAAAGGTTAGGACATTAAAGCAAGTTAATTTATTCCGAAATTACAATACACAACGGGACAAAGTCCCAATTACATGATAAGGTAAAACACAAAACCTTAAGTAAATTAAAAAAAACAACTAACATTAAGTGTAAAGACATAAATACTACACAAGATGGATCAAAATATAAAATCGAGACGCAGTAGGAGTTATGTATAAACAGTAACAGACAAATAAAATATACATGGTCGCTGATATGTACGGAAATGGTCGCTTATCTTCTAAACTAACATAGCTATCGAAAAATCATAAGATACAAAAGAATTAGGGTTTTTTAAATCCATTATAATAAGAAAAATTAAGTACAAAGGATCAGTCAAAAAGTCATGACGAAATAAATTTGCTTTTTTTAATGGAATACCCTGGATATTATTCCATGTTTCAATTCTCGAAATTCTAAACAAAATTCATATAGCACATCATGTACCTAAACTTAACCGTTTTCGAGATATCGAACTTTGAAAATCATTTTCTTATACAAAAATATTTTAGTCCATTAAGTTTATAGTCCATCAAATTATCTTTGATGATTTGATAATAAAGCCGCGTCGTTCGTTTGTCTAATAGTGATTATCTTGAAACACATATCAAAAATACATTTAGTCTGAATAATTTTCTCGCAAAAATGGCAGGTTTACGTGAACTGAGCTTATTGAAGCTTTAATGATCAGGATATGGTGACTGAAGACGAAGTAGTGGATATTTTTCATGAATTACATCCCGATCGGAACGTATTTCTAAATCAACAGTTTCAAAAACATTGCAGCGTTTTCATGAAACTGGAAGTGTTACAGGTCGACGAAAAAGTGGAAGTCCAGTAAGCGTTACAAATGAAGAAAATTCTTTGAATATCATGTTAGATGTGGTGGATTCAATAAATTCGACACAACGGAGGGCTTTAAATCATAACATGTGTCGATATTCCATTAAAAAAATTTGCAAACGGGAAAAATTACGTCCGTATAAAATTCATTTGTTACAAAAATTGAGTGAGTGATTATAATCGTATAATCGAGTTCTGTGAAGNTGGATTCAATAAATTCGACACAACGGAGGGCTTTAAATCATAACATGTGTCGATATTCCATTAAAAAAATTTGCAAACGGGAAAAATTACGTCCGTATAAAATTCATTTGTTACAAAAATTGAGTGAGTGATTATAATCGTATAATCGAGTTCTGTGAAGTTATGGATAAATTAAACGAAATTGTCCACTTTGTCCCCCACATATTATTTTCTGGCAAATCTACATTTTGTTTAAATAGCTCGTAAAGCGACACAACTGTAGGTATTGGTCAGACCAAAATCCACATAGGATGGAGGAAGTTCATACCCAACGACCACATAAAGTAAGTGTTTATTGTGGCATTATTGGTCACAGGATTATAAACGGAAAATTGACCTCTGAACGATATTTATTACTTTTGCAAGAACATATTATTTCGGCAACAAATATGGTTTCGACAAGATGGGGCTCCTCCACATTTTGGATGTGTGGTACGGGCATATCTAGATGAAACTTTTCCAGATAAATGGATTGGATGCAGAAGGACAATTGAATGATTTAGATTAATATTTGAACACCAACTATACAGGGTGTCTCATAATTAGCTGCCAACCCTGAACAGGCCGATTCTATGATCAAAACTAAGTAAAAAAGTTCATATGAACATGGGTCTGGAAATGCTTCCTAAGGGCATAGGGACCTATTGAAGAGGGAGGAATGGATATCATTTTTTTGCAATATCTCTCAATCGCGTTGTGATAAATGAATGAAATTTGGTATACACAGCTAAATTTTGATGAGCAATTTGATGGACTAATCCATTTATTTCCACAAGGTCCATTGGGGTGGGTACGGGGGGGCCCTTGGTACTTTGCGTGTGTAACTTTTTCATCTTTGACTTTTTAACAAATTGGACAGCAAATTCCGTTTTCCCGAACTGTTTTACGTTAAAAAGGTACTCTTGTTTCAAATCGTTATCTTTAACGGTTTCTGAGAAAATCGCTCTTGAATTAATCCCACTTTGGTCAATTTCATAGTAATTTAAACAAAAAATAATAATAATAATTTAATACGTAATCAGTAATACACATTATTGATGTAGAACAATTATGATATGATGATTTGTTTATGGCTTTTGCGATGGTAATGCTGCGCGGCAGAACGCGAGTACGGCAGAAGGTTTCCAAACAGAAGGCTGACATCAAGGAGGACATTCCTCACTGTATTCCGCAATTTAGCTGCAACCGTCACTTTTCGAAGGGATCATAAGATGGAAACTTAATTTTGATAACAGACAACAAGCTATTTTAAAAACTGTTCAAAAAACCCTCCACCTTCTCTGATACAAAGTCTTGCCCTACGTGTAACACTTCTCGAAGCTATTAAGATGCTAAAACGGTTTTGACGAATTTCATTGGCTGCATCATTGATACGCTGCAGCAATTCCTCACGGGTATCGACTTCGGTGGCGTAAACTTTTTG